TCTCTCTGTATATTTTCTCTCTCTATCTCTCTCTCTCTCTCTCTCTCTCTCTCTCTCTCTCTCTCTCTCTCTCTCTCTCTCTCTCTCTCTCTCTCTCTCTCTCTCTCTCTCTCTCTCTTTCTCTTTCCCTGTCTCTCTCTCCTTCTCCCTCTCCCTCTCCCTCCCCTCCCTCCCTCCCTCCCTCCCTCCCTCCCCTTCGTCCTTCACAATCCCTTACCATCACCTTACCTTACAGACCTCTTTCTTACCCCCCCCCCCCTCTCTGTTACCTTCCTTCCTTTCCTCTGAGGGTCATCATATATGCTACCACCCCACCCATTCCCCCCCCCCCCGCCTCTCTCTCTCTCTCTCTCTCTCTCTCCTCTCTCTCTCTCTCTCTCTCTCTCTCTCTCTCTCTCTCTCTCTCTAGTATTGTATTTCTCCCCCTCCCCTCCCCCCTCCCTCTCCCTCCCTCCCTCTCCCTCCCCCTCCTTCCGCCCTCCCTCCCTCCCTATCCCTCCCCCTCCTTCCGCCCTCCCTCCCTCCCTATCCCTCCCTCCCCATTATCTTACCTTCCCTTCCTTTGAGGGTCATCGTCCCTCCTACCACCACCCCACCTACCCCACCCCACCCCGACCCCTTCCCACCCCACCCCCTTTCCCACCCACCACCGGCAGCTACCCAACAACCATTCAACCACGCCCATACGCCGCCCATGCTCTCTACCTGTGTTGCGGACCTTGCCTTTCGAACAGAGGCGCCCAATGGACAATAATATACAACGAGTGAATGACGTTATAAGTAAGGACCTAAGTTCGTGGAATTGCCATTAGAATAAACAACTACAACAAGAATAACAATAACAGTTGTAATAACAGCAAGAAAAATGACAATAACAATAGTAATAACAACAAGAATAGCAATAACAACAACGATAACAACAAGAAGAATGACAATAACAGTAGCAGTAACAAAAACAATAACAACATCCCATAACAACCACTACAAACAACAAAAACAATATCCACAGCAGCAAACAACAAAAGGAAAATCTCACCCGTCGAGTATATTTTTCTGTCATAAACCCCACGCATTTCCGTTGAAAGAGAAAGAGAGAAGGAGAGAGAGAGAGAGAGAGACGGAGAGAGAGAGAGACGGAGAGAGAGAGAGATGGAGAAAGAGAGAGACGGAGAAAGAGAGAGAGAGAGAGAGAGAGAGAGAGAGAGAGAGAGAGAGAGAGAGAGAGAGAGAGAGAGAGAGAGAGAGAGAGAGAGACGGAGAGAAAGAGAAGGGGAGAAAGAGAGGGAGAGAGAGAGAGAGACGGAGGGAGAGAGAGATGGAGACAGAGAGAGAAAGATGGAGACAGAGAGAGAGACGGAGAGAGAGAGAGAGAGAGACGGAGAGAGAGAGAGAGAGACCGAGAGAGAGAGAGAGAGAGAAGGCGAGAGAGAGAGAGATGGAGAGAGAGTCGGAGAGAGAGAGAGAGACGGAGAGAGAGAGAGAGACGGAGAGAGAGAGAGAGGGAGAGGGAGATGGAGAGAGAGAGAGAGAGAGAGAGAGAGAGAGAGAGAGAGAGAGAGAGAGAGAGAGAGAGAGAGAGAGAGGAGGGAGGGAGGGAGGGAGGGAGGGAGAGACAGGCACATTGTTGTTGGTATTATCAATTCTGCTGTTGTTAGTAATATTATTGTTATTACCAGTACCGTTCCTTTAGCAATGTTATATAAATGTCACAGGGCGACAAGTCTTATTTTAAGAGGGTCTGTAAACCTCAAAAATCTTCCCCAAAAATCTATCTGAGCAATATATTTACATGCAATCTCTACCGGGTACCTCTCTTTCAACACCCGGAACTAAATGTTTTAGAGATAGTAGTAAGGAGACAGAACAGGATGAAACCCATTATCCACAGCGTAAGCCAACGTATGCCAAACAACCATACGTATTGTTTATGCATATGTGACCTACATAGACATTAAACGGGGCGAAAGCATCTCTCCGAAACAGCAGCGAAATGATCTCACAACACAAAAATGTTATCCTCTTTTGAGACAGCGAGAGGCATAGCGTATGTCACGGTAGGAAGAAGAGATTAGTGGGTTAATAAATATGTTTGGGTCCTTGTAATTTGGGGATTTGTGGTCTGTATTGAAGTATGTGGCAGTCTTCAGGTTCGGTTTGCGTGTAATGCCTTGTCCTTATTTATTCTGCGTTGGTGTTGAATGCGAGAGACACATGTCGTATTAGTCTCTTTTAGTTTATTGGTTGGCTGGTGGGATGTTTGATGTAGGTAGGGGATGTAGAGTTCTCTGTCTTGAGGAAAGAGTGATGAATTTGTTTTGTTTTGTCTTGTCTTGAGAAAATAGAGTGATCATTTTGTTTATTAAGGTGATTTCAGCCTTGTCTTGAGAAAATAGAGTAAGCATTTTGTTCAAGGTCATTTCAGCCTGTTTGTCTCATTAATTGTCTAAATATATATATAAAATTAATGAACGATATATTCCTCATTTGTCAGAACAGCACC